TTCTTCAGTCCTCTTCAGAGCAGAACTGAACTTCTGACCCCTGGGATCTGACATAAATGGCAAGTATCACAAAATCAAGATTGATGTTCACAAAAATGCTGCAGGATCATGAGTTCTGGCTAGCTTTGCTAGAGCAAAACTAAGATTAAAAAAAACCTATGTTTTCATTTCAGAATTACAAGCTGCTTCACAGAGGTAGCTGCAGAACCATGTATTTTTGTCTTAGATTCTATTGGGATAACATGTAGTCCATAGTAGATCTATTGGTATGTGCATCCGTGTGCCCATCATCAAGGAAGACAGATAAATACACCCTTAATAATGAAAGCTGTATGCATTTCTGTATATTCATCTTAAAGCAGGGGTGTCCAACCTTGGCAACTTTAAGACTTGTGGACTTCAACTCCCAGAATTCCTAGCTAGTATGCACTTTCTATATGACCTAGCTTGGCACAATGCTAGGTCGATGCTAGGTCAATGCTAGGCACAATGCTAGATACAATGGTTCTTCAGCCACTATGAACATATTTCTATTCTATGCTTATAAATGAATATACACTAAACCTGAATATTTTAATGTTCAATTATTTTTCATCCCATTGCCTTTAATAGGATAGATTAACATTATGCATGATTCACTTACTGCAATCCTATATTCCTTAGGAGTAAAACCCGAGATCTGAACTTTAGGAGTATATGTCTAGCAGAGTGATCTACAAGTACTTTATTATGGACTGAGTGACAACATACAGCAATTAAGCAATGTCCACTACGCTGTCACCTGAGCTCGAAGACAAAGAAGCTATTCATCTATGATAACGTAGTTTGAGAGAAGAGCAGAGAATAAACTTTTCTTACAGGCAAAATTTTCTTAAGCAGGGTAGGTTGATGTGTATGTGTGTGTGTGTGTGTGTGGGGGAAATAAGATACTGAAAGTTGAGGAGAGTTTGGGGGAAGAAGAAAAGATGATGACTGGAAACCAAAATGGATTTTAGGCAGTTTGAATTGCTGAAGGCATGCTGATTCCAGAAGAATTTGGGACAAGGCTTCTGAAGTGTTCCTGGGTGGCGTCCAGGGAAGACCACTGAAGAAAAGAGACAGCCAGCAAGGGATGTGTTTTCTCAAGGAAGATGGCTTCAGTTAGGGAAGAAGGAGGAAGTGGAGGAAAAGAAGAAGTAATAGTAGTAGTAGTAGTCCTGCCAGTTTGAGAGATCAGGCCAGCCTATGGAATGAACATTCTCTTATGCCTAACTGGAAAGGAGCTTGCTGTGTATTTGAACAACCTCAAGATTAAGCCATTACTATTAGAGGATACACAAGCACAAGCAGTAATAAATCATCACCACATTCCTATTCCTTTATTAGCTGAAGCAGAGAAAGGAGGAAGGTGTGAGGGAGAAGAATTCATGCTTGTTTAACTGTCTTAATTAGATTCTGGGTAAATAGCTTTATGTGCCTGGAAATGAAGGTAAGAAATCACAAGGAAGTTTTGTGGCCCTTTGCTGAATCATTTCCCATGGACCCAAAGCTCTTGTGACAGACTGGATTGTGCCTTTGGAGATCAATTAAACTGAAAAGATAGTTGTGCTATAAATCTATAATTAGTTTGTCGACTCGCCTTGCAGTGTTGCTGTTCCTAAACTGTCCGGCTTAGAAGCTTTTGAATTCACAACAAATATTGATAGTTCATTTCCACAATATAGAGAAGCTTTTGTTCAAAGAATAGTATGCATATTATATATCATATTCTGTACAAAAATATGCATCTTTGTTAGCATGGACTAAAATATTGAATAATGGCAAACTTTTCCCTAAATCACAAATTGCTAAAATATTATATTTCCTGTATGATATTTGAAAATTCTGCACAAATCTATTGTTTAATTTATCACTTTCACAAGTAAGAGTTTTGCTTTTTCCTTCCTATCAACTGCAAATTGATATTTCCTACTGTCTTAGTACAAAATAAAAGCAAACTTACAATATATCAACAATCTTAGAAACTTTCTATTAATTTTCACATAGGTGCTCTGACATTTTTAATGCTAGTAAAAACCACAAGGACTATGGCATTTTATTAGGCTCTAGGCACCCATAAATCTAAAGCAAGAGGTTTTTTTTTTCCTAATTAAGAACTGGTCATAAATTAGGGAAGAAATAATTTAGTGCACACTGCTTTAAAATAAAGGTAGAACTAAGATAAATTTCAATAAATTGTAATACTGATTGCCTGCTATGTTATTTTAGGGATAAGCCACAGCTGTTCTGGATTCTAATTCTTATGATTACTTGCTGTAGGCCATAATGAGAGTTGGAATCCAAAACTTAAGAGTGGGAAGCCACTAGACATATAACCTATGTTTGCCATATATGCTCCTTCAAAGAAGAGAAACATGTAACTCAGGGGTGTTAAACTTGCATCGTCATGGCATCGTCACATGACGCATTGGAACTTTTCTCCCCTTTGCTAAACCAGACATGGGCGTGGCCAGGGTGTGATGCACCCGACCCGCGGCCCAGGGGTTTGACAGCCCAGATGTAACTCTTTGGTTATTGCTGAGGTACAAATCTCAGCTCAACCGATCCATTTCGCCACTAATGAAAAATTCTGGGAGTTACACTGATAGTCACAGGTTCCCCCCGTTTTGGACTGCAGGGCACTCATGCCTGGGCTAAATAATCATTTAATTGTTTAATGATGTATATTGTTTAAACATTATAATGGTATTATAATGTCTAATAATCATTTAATGGTATTCAGCAGGTCAAATTCAGTGAAGATTCTGCAGAATTGGGCAATGGAAGCTTCCTGGTTCTTCCTCCTCCTCCTCCTCCTCCAATCCTTTGTACCTATTCTTTTTACAAAGGCATTCCTGCAGGCCAACATAACCTTTGGCATTATGCCATGGCACCAAAGCGAAATTCAAAGAATTTGCTGATGAACTTTTTTTTGTTTGTGCAAGGTATCTCTGAATCCAAAGCATCAATAGCATTAAGCATATTTCTTATTTTTACTATGCCTGATTTAATATTCTGAGTTTGTAAACAAGCGGAGTTTTGAAATATGGTCTATATATGAAACAGGTATGACCATTTTGCTTCAACAGAGATACTACATCTCAGGTTAAATCTATTATCTCAGCCTGCTTTCTTGTTAAATAGGAACTTTTCTCCAGGGGAAGACTGCAAATGTCTATATTGTAAATATTTGAATGATGCCAGTAATTGTCTTTTGCACAGCATACATATTTTTGCCCTTCGTTGACTAGATGACTAGCCAAATGTAGCCTTTTTAAACACTTGACTGAATATAATTTGTACTCTCTAATTGTTTACAGCTATTTTCCTGTTAACAATGATTTTTCTCTTCCTCAGACATTAAAAACAGCTTTCAACAGACTGCAAATGAATACATTTGCCAGTTCCATTTACATGTGTTTTTACCATGATTATATTTCACAGCAATGCTGTATCTCTATAACACAATTAAACCATTTATTCCAGACTATAAAAAAATGGGAAAGCTAGTCACATGCTTCAATGATGATACTAAGCTGGCAGGAATAGCTAACATCCAAGAAGATAGGCTCAAGACCCAGATGGATCTTGACAAACTAGAACACTGGGCCATATCTAATAAAATGAAATTCAATGTAGAGAAAAGTAAAGTCCTGCACTTAGGCAAGAAAAAACAAAAGTACACGTATAGACTGGGGAAAACCAGGCTCAATAGCAGCAGCTGTGAGAGGGATCTTGGAGTCTTAGTGGACAGCCAGATAAATATGAGCCAGCAGTGTGCAGCAGCTGCCAAAAAAGCTAATGCAATCCTAAGTTGTATTAACAGAGGGATACAGTCAAGATCAAGGGAAGTACGAATACCACTCTATAAAGCTTTAGTAAGACCACACCTAGAGTACTGCATCCAGTTTTGGTCACCACATTATAAAAAAGATGTTGAGACTCTACAAAAAGTACAGAGAAGAGCAACCAGGATGATTAGGGGACTAGAGACTAAAACATATGAAGAACGGTTACAGGAACTGGGCTTGGCTAGTCTAATAAAGAAAAGGACCGGGAAGACATGATAGCAGTGTTCCAGTATTTGAGGGGCTGCCACAGAGAGGAAGGGGTCAAGCTATTTTCTAAAGTGCCTATAGGCCATACAAGGAATAATGGACGGAAACTGAACAAGGAGAGATTAAACCTGGAAATAAGGAGAAACTTTCTGACAGTGAGAACAATCAACCAATGGAACAACTTGCCCTCAGAAGTTGTGGGAGCGCCATCAGTTGAGACTTTCAAGAAGAGATTGGACTGCCATTTGTCAGAAATGGTGTAGGGTCTCCCGCTTGGGTGAGGGGTTGGACTAGATGACCTACAAGGTCCCTTCCAACTCTGATTATCTGTATCTGTATTAATGTTCTGAACAAGAAACAACACTAGAATGGGAAGTACATTTCAGTCATTTTTTCTAATACTGATATTAGTCTGCTGGCAAAATTCTGATATTAAAATGCTAGCAGTACAATCCTAGGCATATCTCCTGAAGTCTACTGAATTCAGTAGGGTTTATTCTGAACTACCATATTTTTCTGTCTATAAGTTGCCCCCATATAGGATCCTCCCCTTTTCTTACTCAAAATTCGGAAATCAATATTTTAATTAATCAGAAGTTTCACTTGTGAGGCTAGTTTGCAGAGATAAGGTATTGGCAGTTTAGCAACCACAGTTCTTCTCTTGCCCCGCCCCCGCACCTCCCAGTGGATAAGACACCTCTCCATTTTTAGGTAAATATTTTTAAGAAAAAGTATCATCTTATACATGGAAAAATATAATAAGTAGGTTTTTGCAGATGAGTGGCAACACTCCATTAACTGTTGCTTGACATTGCTCATTTTGATTCACATTTCTATAGTTTTGATTCTAAATTACAGCCTGTAGACAGATTCTAAATTACAGCCTGTAGAACATATATATACTACAGGCTGTAGAATTCCACATATTAACAGGTCTAACATATTTCCAAGATGTCTAGTTATAGCAATGTCCCCCAATCCTTCTAGTGCTACTTTAACACATGTAAAATATCAGTACCTATCACAAAAGTGATGGATCTGATGAAAAATCAACATTGTTTGATAGCTTTCAATAGTGATGGGTGGGGGTGTGCAGATCAAGAATATAAATAGGTATTAGGAATAGGTTTTCGATAATCTCATTTGGGGCTCTAAGGCTCAGTTATAATGTCAAAGAGGTGGGAGAAACTAAGGCCCTCAAAAGAGCTGCAGCTAATACTGTGCCTAAATTAACTGTTCCCAGATGACAGCCAGGTAAGAGTTTGGACATGCATCTCCTATTCACCAGGTAAAACAAGATTATTATTTTTATTTGTAATTAGGTAAATAATTAGGTAAAAATTTAAAATGGAAGCTTTTTGATTCAGTATTTCAATTTTGCAGTATAACGATATTTAATGACTCTAGTGCATTAGTTTACAGTTTTATTTTTGATTTTTAAAAAATAGATCTTTGAATTAAAGATGCCTCTTCAATTTTGTACAAGAATGTAACATAAAGACTGGGGAAGCATCTTTTTATTTTTCTTTCATCACCCAAATAAACTGAAGCTAAAACTAACAAACCCATTTTAGACATTGTGCAAACACCTAGCTCTCTAAAAAGGTTTTAATGCTTGAAGCGCGGAAGGAAAAAGAAGAGGATAAACAGCAACTAGCAATGAGTGTCCCGGTGGAAGAGCTGAAGGACCAGGTTAGGGGCAGATATCATGGAGGAAATCTATCTATGTTGCCTGCAAGAATCATTATCAACTTGATGATATGTAATCGTTCAATCAAAACTAGCAATATTTTGAGAATCTAAGTAATATCTCTAAGAAGACATAACAAAGGCAAGAAATAAAGACATCAGAAGTAACTAATGCACACTTGGTATATCTTAATCCAAGGGTGGACAATTATGGCCCCACTATGACCTGTGGCCTTAACTCTCAGAATTCTGGAAGTAGCCATGCTTTACAAGCCATAAAAGGGCCACAGTTGTCCACCCCTGTCTTAATCCATTGTATTATTTTCAAGTTACTCAATTACTTCAGAGATGGACTATATGGCACCTTCCCTGTTGCTGCTTGAGTTAATTGTTCAGGAGAATCTATATATACCAATAGAGAATGAAATACGATGATTAAATAGCACTTCACAAATTATTAATCCTGGCAATGTCCAATTAATTAGAGCACCTTAATTAGAACAGAAAAGCTATACTCTAACATCTTTGTAGCAATCTAATGGAGGATTTGACTCACATTTCCATAGTTTTGATTCTAAATTATAGCCTGTAAATCAGAATGCCTGATCCTGCTTCCTTATTTGCATGATAGAAAGAAGTTACAATTAGAATGATGCAGCAAATAGTTCAAGGTCAGATATCATCAGTGATTACAACAAAGTCTACCTTGTTACCCAAAGTTCCCAATAGTTCCCAACTGTTCACTTGCCAGATGTCGGAACTATGGGAACTGCAGCCCAACACATCTGGAGCTATCAATCTGCAGAAAGTTGGTAATGACACACACAGATGATAGGCACACTAGAATTAAGCAGTTAGCTCATACCAAACTCCACAGATTTCAAACTGAAGCTATATGCAGGTAACACTTACTACTAGGGTTGGCTTTTGATGATTTACATCATTAAATATTTAAAACGTAAAACTTGCTTGCCAATCTTCTGTTTTGGAATGAAGCTTCACTGCTAATGAAAAAAGAAAAATAATACTCTACCTGTATTTTCCAAGAGTTTGGCACTAAGTTCCTATTTCAGTTTGCTTGCTGATTCATTAATATGCTAGCTTTATCCCTTAAATACAAGTTTAGAAATGCTAATGTCTTATATCAGAATCTTCTAAGCTTAAAGACACATTGTTATATCATGGTCTTAACAACTGTTTTTGATGTGTGAACTACACAAGTTATGGTTCCAAACTAGAAAAAAGAATTAATTCAGCTCATTCAAAAACAAAAATTAAGAAAGGGGATATTTTTCAGTGAGCATGGATCTTAAAAGATATCTGCTGCTAATTGGGTTTTTTTTTTAAGAAACAAAGGCATGCACACAAACCTTAGAAACATAGCAGTGGAAAAACTTAATTGTTTAATGCTAATGATATAGCAGGAAATATACCAACGGAAAGGAACAGTAGTTATCTGTTATGGACCCATTGGTACCTCCTTCTTATGAAACTGTTAGCTACCCATTTTTGTTCTTTCTGCAGTTTAACTAAGCAGATGTAGCGGTATGAATGAGAGGATGTGAGAATGGATAGTCACACTGGTGGCAAATCCCATGTCAGTTTTATCAACTGGTTCCAAGCAGTGAGCTGTTCCTATCGTGTCTCAGCTGCCCAAGTCCAAACACAATTCTAAGCTGTTATGTGAAGACAAAGTGAATTGCAGCCATTTGGAATCTTTGAAGGAGTCACGGGCCTTTATAACTGAAGGATTTTTCTAAGCTGAGACCATTAGAGATCTAGAGCAGGGGTATCAAACTTGCGGTGTCATGGTGGCATCCCATGAAGTATCGGGACTTTTTTTCTCTTCGCTAAACCGGGCAGGACGTGGCCAGCGCATGATGCACCCGGCCTGCAGGCTAGGAGTCTGATAGCCCTGATCTAGAGAATAAAAGGTACAAAATCCTTTTCATTTAAAAATAAAATAAAATAAAATTGAATGGTTGATATTGTTTACTGTGTTTTACCAAAAAGAATGCCTTTTCTACTCTCATTTTTGGATTGTACAATTTTAATACTAATATACTTGCTACCACTGTCTACTGTGTTGAAGTGTAAAGGTTAAATAAAGAAGTTTGCCAAGTGAGAGGCAGAGTGTGGTATTACTTTTATTTCTCTTTCTCCCCCGTTTTTTTCTTTCTCTTTTTTTACTGGTCTTCCGCTCTATTGCTGCTTTTGAACTTAACCACCATGACTGTAATGTTGTCAGGGCATCCCCTATAAAAAGATTGGAGCACTATGCTCTTGGCTCCAAAATGTGGCTCATCTAATCGTTCTCTGATGAACCGCACCGCTTCCTCATTACTAAATGCATCCCAGAGCCCATCAGAAGCTAAGATCATGAACTCTGGCTGGAGTTTGTCCAGGTCAAAGGTCAAGATATCTGGATCAGGGATGACAACATTCAGATTTTTCAATGGGTAATCCCCAAGAGAACGAGACATGGCCAGGATCCCCTGAACACGCCAGGAACCATTGAAACTGATGAAGCCACCTAGAAGAGAAAAGCAGAGAGAGAGAAAAAAAGATTAAATGGTGTTTATGGGAAATTGCTCTCAGAAGTTTCCTTTAATAGGTTATTAAATCAGTCAGAAAAAATGATTAACTTCACAATTTTTTTTTTCTTAAGAAAATCCTTTTTTATAATTTATCTGCATATCTCTTGCCAAGACGTAGGAAGGAAATCTTGCTCATCAATTGATCCTTGTCTTTTTCAACACAGGGGAAGGATTCCACCACTTAAGGCAAATATAGTCAGAAAGCCATAACTATATGTCCCCCTTTTGTCTAGTCCAAAATCACCCAGTATTTTGAACCAACAGGCTCATCTGAAATTTGAGAGCATACTATGGTCACAAAACACTTTTTTAAAAAACCATACAATACAATAACTGGTCAAAATGCTACCTGCATGTCAAAACTGCTAGGATTATAAAGAGTTTAGAGACCTACCCTATGAGGAATGGTTAAAGGAATTGATCAGTTTTAGATAACAAAAGAGAAGACTGACACATAAAAACTGAGTGTATGTGTGTGTGTGTATGTGTGTGTGACTGTATGTGTACATACCTTCCATTCAGTCAGCTTTGACTCTTGGTAACTATATGGATAAGTCCCTGATTATCTAGGCAACATTTTGATAAATGGCTTGCCATTATTATCTTGGCAGGGCTAAAAGTTTGATGACTGGCTCAATGTTACTACCTGAGTATGGTCTCTATAAATAAAAAGAAAAAGAAAAACAGAGAGAGGAACTTTTTCTCTGCTTAAAGGAAGGACGAGGACCAAGAGTTGAAATGAAAGGAGATGCAGAGTGAATATTATGAAGAATTTTTCCACATTAAGAACTCTATTGCAAAGGAACCATTCTTCTAAAGTTGAACTCTTGTCTCAGGGATGATTTTCAAAAATGTGTTAGTTTTGAAACTAAAACTAAGTTGGGATGGTTTAATGGATTTGTGCACTGAGCAGAGGCTTAGATTTCATCTCTGAAAAACTCTTACAACACATTTTTTTTTTATTTTTAAATTTTAACAAATGGAACACAATAAACGAGGTGGCACAAAAAGCTGGAAAGATGCTAAGGGAGATGTTATTGGACTCCCTTGTGTTTATGTGATCCAGCTCAAGGGTCACCCAACACTCAAGGTTTTGTCTGAAAAGACGGACGCTATAGCGGAACTTCCACTTTCCATAGCTCTGGATCCTGACTAATCTGTTTTCAGGAAGTTTGGAGAACATTCTGGCCTTTGAATTATATTTAGCTCACAATCCCTAGAGCAGGTGTTCCTTCCTATACTAGTTTTGTCTCTAGGTCTTACATGCATACAGAGTAAAAAGAAAATGGCACTATTAGAAAAATGGAAGCATATTCAGTAACATCTGTGATTAATGAGACCAGAGTTAATACAGTGTGAGCATATCCTTTTCTAGCATGATGCATTTTATGTTATGCAACTTAAAGCTGATGCAGAAAGTTCAGAAAATATCCAAACATTGCCACGAGGAGTTAAGATTGAATCAATATCCTTGCTGTTGCTATTGAAATGGTTGACACATGGATTTCTGTAGGCAGGTTCATCCATACATATGACACATTGCTGAATAGGAGGAAAATTCAACCTTCATCTCTGTTTGCAACATAAAGGACATTTTCTTGCCTATGCTCGGGCAATCTCCCCCTCATTTTAATCATGTACTGTATATCCCTCTGGGATAATTCAAGAAGAGATTCAGACTCATTTGCAAAGATTTATAATGGATCTCTGTTGTTCTATAGTGAGAAAAGGCTTTATTGTTATTAAAAAAAATCATTCCTTTTTCTCTCTTTCTCCCCTACAATCCTGCCTCCCTCACATGTTGCTTATTTTCTGGGTTTTTTGGTATCTTTTATTACTACAGTCAATCTTTCCTTTTGCTATAGATTAAAATGCCCTTTTTTAAAAAAGTAGAAGGATTTACAGTTTCTGAATAAAGGGAAAATTTCATCTCCTTTAGTGCATGGCAACAGAAAAGAACTAATGTTCATTTGTAAAGTGCAAATTAGTCTTCTCCAATTATAACTTCTCAGAATTGTGTTCAACAGTTTCACCCAGAACTTCGCAGCAACACCACCCAACAAACTCAGAAACTGAAGCAAGAACAAATTAGGAAAATGGAACAAGAGTGTTTCTTTTGCCAAACTTTTATTTATTATTTACTCATTTTAAACACATCTGCATTAATAGAATTCTCATAGCAATTTACAATTAAACCATTTTTTTGACTTTACTTTTTTACTTTTGATTTTAATTGCACTGATTTTATTGTGTTTTTTATTTTGTATTCTAAAACTGTTGAAAGCTGTTGAATGTTTATAGAAATGGAAAAGGACAAAACCAAGGATAAATACAAATAAAAATAAACTCTGTGTAATCTGCACTTCTATTTTTACAACTATGTAAGCTCTCATTATCCCTATGTTCTCAACTACCTTGCCACATAAAATATATTTTTATTGAGCTTAGTTTATGCTGTTTTACGTTAGTGAAATGCCACAATGCCTAAAGCCACAGACTAAAGAACAATGGATGATGACTGGATGATTTATTCTTGATAATGGTCATAAAAATATGGACAAGTGTAAGAGGAATGGCAAATATTTTCTTGTTCAGGTTTTAAAGTTTGCGAAAATATATTTGAATACATTTTGAAGCCCCAAAAGTATAATTTTTATATTCTCCCTTCTCTCCTTGTCTCATTTTTACATAAAAGAGATGGCTGATGTAATCAACTCTAGTATCCTAATCTTTGAGGACAACAGATTTTCCTAAAAGGTGTTTTGCCTGAAATCTTATAACTTAGAACAGTGGTTCTCAACCTGTGGGACTCAGACCCCTGTGGGGGGGCTGTTATGTCATCACTGAGGGTCCACAGAGGTTTGAAGAAATGCTATGATTTAAATATTGAGTTAAGTCTTGGAGGTCTGTGGCCATAAAAGGTATTTAAAGTGTGTTGAGAACCACTGACCTAGAAAATTTAGTGTTGCCTAGTATTGGATAAGAATAATTTTCTAAGATTAAAATAAACCCTCACCAACCAGTTTTAGAAAGTACTCTACACATCTCAAGTATTCTTAAAAATTCTCATTATAAATCCAAATATTGTGTATGTCGAGATGCTGTTGAAGAAGAAATAATTTCTGATTTAAGCACAGCTGCATATTATAAAAGAGCTCAAGCTGAAAGTAACTGAAGGTTTTCCCTGACTAAACTCAATTTATATAAGGAACAGACATTTTACAGCTTTAGAGCCTAGCAAGCTCTCAGCAAAATTTTCATATGGCCGCAATATATACTCAGAACTGAATAGAAAAGCCCCTGTCCTGATTGCATGTCTAAAAAAGCATCACTAGAGTATTGTAATTTTATCTTTGGAGAAAACCAAAAATAACATGTCCTTCAATGTCCAGTACAACTTAATATTGGCAGTATTCCCCACTGGCTAATGTATTCAATCTAGCATTTCCATCTTGTGATTGACTTTCTGGTGGAAACAAGTAGAACAGTTCTGGATTTTCCTGCTTTTTTATTCACATCTCATTTTTTGTAACATTTTGCCCTGATGAAGAGTTATGGAGAAGTCAAAAACTTTTACATTTGTGCCATTTTGGGTGGCTTCAACCAAAGGATGTATGGATTTTGCAAACATAACCAAAAGATTCCTCATAACAACTTGCCTAATAGAAAATATACATTAAAAAGTTAAACTAATAGCACATTAAAATAGACATGATTTTAGAATGACAGGTATTTTCCCTCTATCACTCAATACTATAAATTGGGATCAGGCTGTTCATCATACAACATGTAATGAACTTGTGGAAGGGGTCATTTTGAGTTACGAGATATTGTGAAGAGGGCACTTAACATGAATTTTAAAAATGTGGCAGGACCTGCACAGAATATATTGTAGCCTACAGAATTCCAGACATCCCTTCTATTTAACTAGAATTCCAAGGCCATTGAACCTGGGACAGTTTGCATTAGAAGTTTTATATTTCCTAAACCGTCTTCCTTCCTGTGCACGGAAATTGGCATTGCTTTTTTGGGCCATGTAACAATTTAGACATGAAGACCCGAATTACCATGCACCAGTTGAACTCTTCAGTGTTTTAACATCTTGTTATCTCCACTTTAGGTCTACTATGGAGATCCTTTGACTGCATTTGTATGACTTGTAAGACTTTATATGACATGTTAAGGAATAAATAATACTGATAAATAATACTGAAATTAGGGCTACCATGAGAGTGAAGCTGTTGTCAGAAGCTGAAAATAATAGACACCAGGAATTACGTAGAGTGGGTCTGCTTTGTTTCCTTACAATTACAGCTGAAGGAAACCCATCAGCTTGACTTTGAGACATGGAAAGACAAGGGTAGACATTATTTCCAACTTTCCTCACAACAATTTGTCTAACACTCCTATTTCTTCTCTCGTCTCCTATACTGTTCATCAGTGGTGGGATTCAAATATTTTTACTACCGTTTCTGTGGGTGTGGCTGGTGGCCGTGGTGTGGCTTGGTGGACGTGACAGTTGGGGGAAAGTTACTACAAAATCCCATTCCTTCCCACCCCACTAATCTGCTTTCCAGCTCCGTCCTCCTGTGCAGAGCAACAAAAGAAGACCCAGAGGATTAGCTGGGACTTGGGAGGCAGAGAATAGATGGGGGCGTGGCCAGTCAGAGGTGGTATTTGCCAGTTTTCCGAACTACTCAAAAGGTCCTCTACCGGTTCTCCAGAACTGGTCAGAACCTGCTGAATACCACCCCTGCTATTCATCCTTTATTTTGCCACAATTCTCCAGAAAATTCATTACCATCACATTGCAATAAATAAAACGATGAAAGAACGGGACAACAAATACAATGTTCTGACATGATATAAAACAAAGAAGCAAACTGAACACCTGTTTCAGAAACTTACCAGCTCTTTTAATCCTCTTTCTTTCTTTCAGCTGATAGGGCTTGTGATCATGAGACAAAGGAATAGCATTTCCATCCTTATCGCACAAAACCCCCCTTGAATCTCCAACGTTGGCCACTGTGAGCTCTTTATCGGACAGTAAAGCAATCAAACATGTTGTTCCTGAAAAGAAAAGAGGAAGACCATAAAGACAATGGAGTGAAAAATCAATACTGCTTCCTTCATATTCTTTCCCTCATCCTCCTTATTTGCATTCGGGAGCCGTCAGGAATGGCAGCTGCATTTGTATCTGAACAAAACATCTAGTACTAGGATGACAGACTGTTTCATAGCACTGATCAAATCTGACAGACAATTTCTTCTTTCCACAATATTTTTTTTTCTGTATCTGATATTTGGTTGGCATTTCAGGGGCTGGTTCTCACCTAGCTTGTCTTTCAGGAAACCTGCAAGAAAAAATATATGGCCCCGTGCCCCAATGGTATATATGGTATATAATACATTCATCCTTATTCCATTTGTTTTCCTCCCAATACAAACTACATGACAAGTGCAAAAACACTTGGTAAAACATACAAAGAGAAAGTTTTATTGTGCACAGTAAATGTCATTGAAAAGCAGATTTTACATTACAAACCACAAGAGGACTATATTCCCAGTGATAAACTGTCTGTCTTCTCCCACTGGGCAAGGATAATAAGGGGGAAATCTCCTATTGACATATCCATTTCCTTGTAGCTGTATGTGATTTACAACAGCTTTGGCTTTACCAGGTGTAGGATATTGTTTAGCTGGGACAGGTGTAACCCTCTTGATCCCTGTCGAAAGGAATAACGTCAAAAATGATGATATCATTCTTCTATTGGTTTCCATTCCATATTATACTATTATTTCTTTATTTGCATAATTTAATCATTTGTTCTGAAGTAGACTGCAAATCCAGTTTTTAAAATTCAGATGAAAGTTTTCTATCATTATTATGAGTTGTTAAATTTTCACTGATAATTTCTTTGCAAGTGTTACACCCGGTCATGAAAACGTTCTTTTATGGGCATTTCCCACATATGATTTATTACAATATTTATTGAACATGACTAAAGATTGTTGGGAGTTTTGACATTTGGTCAACATAGGTACACAGATATATATAGTTAACAGTCAGGGGAATTGTTAATGTGTGTGAAAGACCAAAGAAAACATTACACAGGCTTTTCTCTGAGGAAACATTTCACATTCTTAGAAATAAGGTGAATATACTAGGAGTATGAAATTATGCATGGTTTGCTGAAAACAAGCAGAAAAAGAAATGATGGTAACATGATTCTTTGGAAAGGTAGATATTGAAGCTGAAGCTCAAATAGTTTGGCCACCAAATGAGAAGAGATGACTCATTGCAAAAGACCCTTTCTTGGGAAAGACTGAAGGCAAAAGGAGAAGGTGGTGGCAGAAGTTGAGATGATAGATCCTGTCCTCAATGTAGTGGGCATGAATTTGGGCATACTGTGGAAGACAATGGAGGATGGTGGGGGGAGCTGGTGTGCTATGGTCTGTGAGTTGCGAAGGGTCGGACATAACCTAGCAACTGAAAAACAATGATACCTCCAGGATCAGAGAAAATGTGTTTCTCAATATAGATATGATAATGAAGACTCTATTCTGTAAAAAACTCGCCTTGCCAGGGCTTAGCTGAGTCTGGCATTTTGTTCCTCTCAAGAGGCCATCCAGATGCCTTTGGGCTGTTCACAAGTAGGATATGGAGATATAGCCTTTTCTCACCACTGATTCCTTGCAGCTAATATTTGAAGACAGGTTAATCCCCCAACCTGAGGTATGAATTTATCTGATCCTATTTAAGTCCATCCTAATTACTGATCATCACTATGCCCTGAGCTAATGAATTTCACAGGCTTATATATTTTGCATTTGAAGGACCCTGGCTGGCCTTTGTAGAAACTAAAAACAATTAATGGGTCTCCGAGTTTCATCCAGCCCTCTATTACTGCAAAAGCAAACACATTCAAACACAAAGTATAGCAATGAACTCAGTTGTACAGAACCAAAAAGACCTTTACTTCTATCAGCAGAGAGCTATACTGACAGAATATATACCTACACAGACAGGGCATGTATAAGTGCACCAACGTGCTTACCGTCCCAGTCCTACTGTTTCTTTTTTATTCGTATCCATTTCATGTATTCATAACCATGCTTATACTTATAGCTGTTATCTAATACTTGCTTGACAAATAAATAAATAAATAAATAAATAAATAAAATAACTCATAGTCTTTTTTTTTCAAATTGTTTAAGGGTTTCTTTTATGAGGAACACAATGTTTTAAAAAGCAGTTAAGTATTTCAAAGGAACAGAGCTGACATTTAACTTCCCCTATATGAGAACTGCTAACATTAATTTATTTTTACAACACTGCAATTCATGTTCCAATTTATCGTTTAATGGTAAATAAAATTAATTTCATGCTTGCATTCTTGTACTTTTAAGTGAACCAGAGGAGTACAAGGTAAATTTTCACCTCAGTTAGTTAATTTACATCTGATTATTCATAAGATTGAGACATCTGCCTTTGCATATAATGGAGTTCGGGGGGATTATAAGTTAAATTAAAGGGCATTAAAGTCCTTATTAATGTATACTAATAAAATAAGAGAATCATAGTGGAAGATCTGTTCCTAAAATTCTGGTGCCGTTCCAGGTTATAACATGAAAGGGATGTAAACCATGTAAACATCAACAAATCTTAATGTTGGCAAAACTGAGATACACCTTCAACAACCAGCTTCAATACAGAAATTGTCATCCATAAATTAAAAAAAAAGTAGGATGGCTTTAGTTTACCTCATCTGTAGACCATGGCATGTTAACCAGAAGGTCTTGAGGGAAAACATTTGTGTTGATGGCTACATCACTATAGATGCTCCTGAACAATTATGCCCTTACAGGTAGTTCTTGACTTACCACCATTCATTTAATGACCGTTTGAAGTTATAAAGTTCACAGAAAAAAGCACTTAGGAATGGTCCTCACACTTACAATTACTGCAGCATCCCAGGGTCATGTGATCACCATTTGCAACCTTCCCAGGGGGCTTCCAACAAGGGAAGTCAATGAGGAAGCTAGATTTGCTTAACAACTGTGGCAAAAAGGTTGTAAAATCAGGTGTGACCTCACTTAATGCCTATATCACTTAGCAACAGAGTTTTGGTCCCATCTGTGGACATTAATTGAGACTACCTTTAGAGATTTATGATAACACAAAGGTGCCCACTTATGCTGGCTTTTCATTCAAATCTTCCACCTAATATGAAAAGAACTGCAGAAATAACAAGGAAAATATCGGTTAGTGAAGAACATCACAGCCACATGGACTTACTTCCCTTCCCTTTGTTTTTGCTATGCATTTACTTATATACAATATACAGAGAATCTTCTTCATAGGTTTATTCAGCCTGTTTCCATCACGATATACTCTAGTGCAGAGGTGTCAAACTCGGGGCCCGTGGGCAGGATGCATCACACGCTGGCCACACCCACACCGAGTTTAGCAAAGGGGAAAAAAGTCATGATACGTCATGTAACAATACTGTGACAATGCAAATTTGACACCCCTCCTCTAGTGTGATATCTGTGCAGCCACAGAATCTCCCTTGAGTACAATACAGGAACCTAATCTGTATGATCCTTCTCTCCCTTGGGAGTTGGAAAAGCAAGGGGACGAATTCTGTCAAGTCGCATATTTATTATATGCATTTAATGGAACAGTTTTGATGCCCATTTTTTAATCACAGAAAGAAAACAGCTGTTTGAGTTAGTCCATGATTCATTCAAATGTATTTAAACATAGCTTAAAAACTGAACAGACCAATCTTCATCGATCTGGAACATTTATAAATCACCTAGGCTAAAGACCGATCAGAAGTCAGCACACCTGACTGTAAAGACAGGAGCCCGGTGAATCTCTGCTAAGTGGACTGTGTTTTGCATAATGCCAGCCACAGTTGCTGGGAAAACATCAGGTAATCTGTTGTCTAGACCAGTGGTCGCCAACCAGTGGGCTGGGGACCACTGGTGGTCCCTGAGATTGTGAACAACATGAGGTAGTGAGGGAAGGCGGGGAAAGGGCAGAGGGAGGGAACTTGCCCCACTCACCCCATGTGGCTCGCCTGGCCAGCGGGCTGCTTCTTTCTTCTGCTTTTGGCTGCATGCAAGGAAAGCAGCAAAAGTCTTTCTTTCTCTCCCCCAAATTCCACCAGAAATGAGTCTTTGGGACCCTGCAAGGCCTCCTGTTCCAAGAGGCTGCACCAGCAAAGACTCATTTCTGGAGGAGTTTGGGGGAGAGAAAGAAAGACTTCTGGTGCTTCTGCTGCTTTGCTTGCATGAAGCCAAAAGAGGTGGTATTTGCCGGTTACTCAACATTTCCACTACCAGTTCTCCAGAACTGGTCAGAACCTGCTGAATACCATCTCTGAACTGGTTCATAGTTATGACCATTGCTGAGTCCCAAGGTCATGTGATCTCCATTTGCGACTTTCTGATAAGCAAAGTCAATGGGGAAACCAGATTCAGTTAACAACTGGGTTCCTAACTTATCAACTGCTGTGATTCACTTAACAACTGTGGCAAGAAAGCTCGTAAAATGGGGCAAAACTCACTTAACAAATGTCTCACTTAAAAACATAAATGTTGGGCTCAATTGTGGTCATAAGTGAAGGACTTGTACACTATTTCATAAGATACAGGTAGGGTCTACCTTCTGAACTTGCTAAGGCACAAAATCCAACCAACGAAAATAAACATTAACCAAACACACAGCATATCATTTTTACATAGTTTCTACCTGACCTATTTATGTATAAAGCTCTTTACTTTTTAATGTAAGATACATTTATTTTTATTTCTTTTATCCTATGTACAAAAAGAAAGAAAAAACCACAATACTAGGATAACAATATCCAGTTAGATTTATGAAAATATTGAAGCCACTGAATGCATCTTGCATCCTGCCAACATGTGAGGAAGCAAACCTATTTCGCTTTGTCTTCACTGCTGTCTACTGTGATTTAATCCACTTAACCTTGTATTGTGGGGAAAAAGGTTACTCTTCTCAGTTGTCTCCACATTTGATGTAAGCGTCCAATAGATAA